TCATTCCCCAGTTTTTGGGTGTTCTATTCTGGAGTTGTGCTACCCCCTTCACACTCACTTTTTTTTTATCTTCGAATTTTAGTTTGGGAAGTTCTTAATTTAGTTATCTCCAAGCTCACTGAATTATTTCTTGAGCTGTGTCAAGTCTACTGATGAGCCCATCAAAAGCATTCTTCCTTCTGTTACTGTATTTATTTATTTACTTATGTATAGCATTTCCTTTTTATTCTTTCTTAGGATTTCCACCTCTTTGCTGACATTACCTATCTGTTTTTTCATGTTGTCTACTTTTTCCACTAGATCTCTTAACATATTAATTATAGTTCCTTTAAAATTCCTGCCTGATAATTTCAACATCTGTGTCATATCTGAGTCTGGTTCTGATGTTTGCTTTGTCTCTTCAGATTGAGTTATATTGTTTTATGTATTATTTTTAATATCATACCTTTAATATATTTACTTACTGAATCAATTCCCCTGTAAGCATCCAAGCTCCCATCTACACTAATATACTTCCCCTGTGTATATGCCATTCTTGCTTTACCCTGACTCCCCGTGCTGGGCTACCCATTACAAGGACATTCTCTCATCTTGTGTGGACTCTTACACTCCACTCCAGGCCATCCTTCCACAGAGACAACCTCCTCACTCTACTACAGTTCTGACTATCCATGTCAGGCTAAGTAGTTGGCTAAGTAATGGTCCCCCACAAGACGTCCACATGCTACTTACCAGAATCTGTGAATGATCATTGATATGGTAGAAGAGACTTTTCAGATATGATTAAGTTAACAGTCTTGAGATGGAAACATTAACCTGATTTATTCAAGTGGCCCCAATGTAAACACAGGAGTCCTTATCGGAGAGAAGCAGAAATGTCAGAATAATACAGAAACTGGAAGATGCTATGCTACTGGCTTTGAAGAAGGAAGAGGAGGCCACTAGCTGAGGAATGCAGGTTTCCTCCAGAAGATGGAAAAGGCAAAGAAACAGACGCTCCTCTAAAGTTGCCAGAAGGAATGCAGCCCTACTGATGCTTTGATTTTACCCACGGGGACTGATTTTGGTCTTCTCACTTCCAAAACTTTAAGATAACAAACATGTGTTGTTTTAAGCAACTAACTTTGTGATCATTTATTATGACAGCACTAGAAAACTAATATATTCTCCCATTCCTTCTTGGGCAATCTCCTCATCCTGCTCAGGTGCTGACACCTTCCACAAAAGATTTTCCCCCTTCATTTATACTCTTCTAACCTTGCTTAGATTATGACTCCCCATGGTGGGCAACTATGAGTGCCTACTTTATACTGATGTGACAAGTTGCTTTGATTATATTGTTCAGGATGGGAAGGGATGGAAAAAGTGAAGAGAAAAATTCATTATTGTTGCTCAAGTTCTCTAGCCTAATTGCCAACAGCACCCTGCCATAAGGGTGTACCAGATATTTCTTAGTGTCACCAAGGGTGGGACATTATACAAGAGGATTCCTTCACTGCTTGCCCTGGCTGTGGCCCCTGTTGCCATGAACCTAAGGAGATAACTGCCCCTACTGATGTTGAGAGAGGAATTTTGCTATCCCCTAGGTCCCTTAGTCTAAAGCACAGGCCATCACTTCCCTAAGGCCCACAACTCTTTGAAAATTGGATATGTACATAATGGATGGAATATACAATATAAATAATTTATACCTACTGCCCAGGCCAACTCAACTCAAGTACTCTTAAAAAGTATTCTCCTTGTCTCGTTCCAAGTTTCCATCACATTGCCCACTACAGCCAATAGCTTTCCATGTCTCAAAGCCTATACCAAACACCAGCCTCAGAGAGTGTGATGCTTTATGTAGCTATAGACCAAGGCCTACCACCTGGGGCTTCATTTACCATTTCAAGATTAATGACTTCTTAAAACAAATGACAGTAGAAATTTTCAATCCCTTCCACTCTATGGTCCAGACAGCATTATCTTACAGTAGCCCTCTATCTGTAGATATCTTAAAGTCTGCCTTAATCAATCTTCAATTCTAACAAGAGTAGAGACACCAATCACAGCTCAAATCAGTTGCAGCTGTGCCAGGATCAGCCCAATTTCTTTTCAATCTTGCCTGATCAAAGATTCAATACTTTTGGAATCAAGTCTCACCCACTGTCAGTTACCTACTCAATAATCAAAACAATGACCATTGATCATTGTCAAGGACTAAACTTATTCCTCAACATGAAATATTTCACACAACCCTATTGTTGTGGAAGGATTAAGTGAAATAGTTGAGAAGGAATCCCCAGACATCTAACCCTCTCTGTTTTCACAATCTTGACACCACTATACACCCCAAACCAGCAGAACTAATCTCTTTACATTTACAACCATTATTTTTATGTCAGTGATCATAAGGAGTCCCAGACTCACAACATGTTCCTATGAACATTCCCTTTTATGACCTTCTCTTTTACCCCTACTCACTGGGTCTTCTGGAATTCACCATCTAGCACTAACCAAATCCATCACACTTCAACTTCCTCATACTCAAAAGATAAACTAATTCTCCTCTAAGGTCTGCTTTCCCTACTTCCCCTTCAAATGGTGGCTGTTTTTCTCTCTTTCATCTTTTGGACCTGGAGGTGAGGCAGAGAGCCTTTTATCCAAACACTTCTTCAGCAACCTTAACATACTCTCTCCTCCTTCACCAGCTTAGAGTTCATCACCAATTCACTAACTGTTATGAGTACACCCTTGAATCTCCACATGATTTCTTGTCTTCTCTCCCTCTGTCCTACTTGCTTGGACAAATTAAAGTCTGCTAAACATAACTCTCTCCCTATCTCTATCTTCACCTATAGTCCTATATAGATAGAGACAAACACTCACTACACCAACTGGTGTCTCGTAACTTCATGTTTGCTGACCCCAAGTGAGCCTTTAATGCTGCCTGGCAATACACATTCTGCTCCCCTGATCCATTCATTCTTCTGCTCTTTCCAAGCCTCCAACACTTCCTTCTTGAACCTCTCTCTCAGCTTCCTATTTCACTGAGAAAATTTTAAACAACCAGTAAAAAATTTTTACCACCACATTTACCCACCAACCAACATCAGAATTCATATAATCCACCTTCCAACCTATTAACAATAATGAACTTTCTGTGTGCTACAATATTATGGGGAATGCACAGTTATTCTTTATCAGATGAGAAAACTGGAGCTTAGAGAATGTAAGTAATTCATTAAAAGTCACACTATTATCAATGGAAGTGGATTCCTTGGGGTGCCATGAGGAAACGAATTTCCTGAAGCCTCCACTGGAGAATGGCGTTTCATGGAAAGCTTTATTGGTGATGTAAAATTAAGGGGGTTCCCTTCCAAAGACCCATCTTCATCCATCCTGCCATGGACAAAGTCCAATCTTGTCTTCAGCAGGCTCAAGGCAAAAGCCAGTGTCCAGAGTTTCTGTTCCATATTAAGGCACACTCCGGTTCAGCATCTGATTAGCTTATCTCGTTCCCAGCTGCAGTCCATTGCATGTGGGGTTCACATGGCCATGGGCCATGCGGCTGCTTAAGGCCACATGGCTATGGAGAGAGAACACACGAGCATCCGGGTGAGTGAGCAAGAGAGTGAAGGGGAACAAGGGGCACAAGCAAGGGAACTTTGGGGGGATTATAACCTTCTAAGATTTCATGTGCTTGCAGTGCTCCACCCCTTAGCTAATTACCTTTTTCCCAGGTTGGATTGACAGACAAGCACCTTCCCTACACCACCCCGACTTCACCGTGCATGTGCCCATCTCCCTCTTTGTCCAATCCTTTCTCCCATTGATCTGCAGGGAATGGACCAGTGGTTCCCTGGGGAGTGTTAAGTTGGAATTTCCTGGTGAAGCTGCCCAGATGACCATGCTTATAACATCTGACTTCCCCTTTGCTCTCTTCCTATTACTAATATTAACCAGCTAATGATAGTAACAACACTACTTGGTAATGGTAGAACCAAGATTCTAATCCAGGCCTCTTTCCCTAAAGCTCACAATCACTATTCATACTCAAGGATGTTTGCTCAAGGTGGACAGAGGAGATGGGGAGGGGGGTACCAAGATGAAGGATGCAATGGGAAGTTGAGGGAGAAGGTATAAATAAATCTTTGTGTGCCAAGCTAAACAATGTGGACTACTTTCCAAAGCAGACGCTCTGAGATAAATGGTGACATAGTTCAATCTATATTTTGGAAAGATAATTTAAACAGCTGCCAAATGGAGCAGTGGAAGCAAACAAATTGCCAGTGGAAACACCACATTTAATGGAGCTTAATCCAATTCTAAGATTTCCACAGCTTAAAATGACTTTCCTCCAACTAATTCATTAGTACATAGTGCATTTACCACAGACCTCCTTAGAAAATGTCTGACACAACATAAATAATTATGAAATTATGCTTTATTCATATATATTAAATATTGATAAATGAAAAAATAAAATATTTTGCATTTGGATACAGTCACAATTATCAGTGATATTCAGAAGCACCAGGCATGAGATGAGATGAGATACTATGTTTTTTATCAGGGGACAAGTCATATGACCTAACATTCAAGTGCTGTGTGATATGCCATTAAAGCAGTGGCTCAGAATGCAGACATGATTTCAAATAGAGAGGAACTGTATAACATCATTTCATTTATAAGTGTTCATTATATCAGCAAGTGAAATAAATGCACAACCCACAGGGTCTTGCTTCAGTCGGCCGCCTACTTGGCCCCTGAGATAAAGCCTTATAAATCACATAGTTTTGCCTAGTCAGAAAAGAAGGGTCAAGTGAAATAGTCATAGATTAAAGAAGTTATAAATAATACATATATTAATAGATATTCATTTTCATTAGATAAAAATGCTATTATAAATAATTTGATTCTGAGTTTAAAATAGATTCCCCATATAAATAATGTAAAATATTAAATATTAATAAATAAATTTAGATTTAAAAATTCAAATATTGCAGTCAAGATGACCATTATTTCGATGCTCTCCAGCCACGAAACAGATTCTGACGCCTTTTCCGCATCTTGGAGTTAGATTTTGACAGCTCAGTTATCACATTGAAGAGTTCATATATGGCTTTGCGCTGGACCCTCTGATCATTTACCTATTGAAAAGGATACAACAATATTAATTTCAGGCATACAAGCTATCAGGATATTCTACTCTTGATGTTATGGTTCATGAAAATGAAAGTGTTCCTTTAAAAAGATGATTTTTACTGGCAATATATTATCTTAATATAGAACAGTGATTTCTTCAGTAGTTAAGATTATAATTAAACTGCTAGTTATGCTGTAATAGGGTGGGACACACACCTTTGCCTTAAGTTTACTGCTCCAGATTTCTCAAAATTATATAGTGAAAAGCCTCTGGAGTGGAATGGCAGAACTTTTTGGTTTGAATTCTTTGTGAGCAATAACTTTGAACCAGTCACTTAACCTCTCTCAACCTATGTTTTAGATAACTCCTAGATTCTCTACAAATCCTATCACCTTGTACTTTAGTCTTTGCTATATCAAATTAGTTACAGTAGGTTAGTGGTTTTCACTTTTGGTGTCTAGCAGAATAACCTGGAGACCTAATGAAGAACTCAGAGGTCCAGGTGTAGGAAGAAGGCCAAGGTCATTGTTTGGTCTCTAAGCTCTGCAGGGGATGCTGGTACCCACCAAAGGTTGAGAACCACTGAAGTAGGTTTAGTCCTTTTTAAATACCAAGTCCAAGACAAATGAATACCATACTTTTTAATTTCCCCCAAATTCTGTCAGTCTCATTTCCATAATGGGATTAAAAATAAAACAAATCATTTTTATATGGCAATAAGCAAATGCTGCTATGAACATTTAAAATTGGAATTGCAGCAAATTTCCCTGTATTCTGCCTTCTATTCCAGTACATTGAATTATTTCCTCAGATAAGCCAATAGGAACATTTAGGTAAATTCGTGTTTAATAAAATAAGGACCATTTACTTTCACCCTGGCTCTGCCATTATGTTTTTTTCTAATGCTGGAAACTCTGTGGCCACCTTGTCACATTCCTGAGAATGACTAGGAGAATTCTAGGCTGCAAGAGTAATCACTTACTGGCATAACATGCCTCAAATATGTTAGCAATTGAGTAGAAGAGTAAAAGTTGCGAGTTCACTTAAGATTGCCCATTCTGAAAACAAGAAGCTGTGAGCTTACAGAGGATGGGACCAACAGCTTTTTTTCAAGGTCTAGTTACAGCAAAGTAGAAAGAGTTTCTATAGCTGTGTGTTTGCAAGTGATAAATTTTACTTTCCAATGATCAAAGCATCACCAGGAAGCTACGAGACTTATCCAGGACTAGCGGGAAGCCAAGGGCAGCACTGGGTTAGGAACGTGCTTTTTAAACCTCTAGCTTGTGGCCAAAAGAGAACTGCTGAATACTGGGAAACATTATCAGTGGAAAGTAGTTATCATCTTATAATTTTTCCAAGTCACTTTTGTACCATCTAATGTATTGGGGACTAGAAAAATCCTGAAGAGCTAGCATCTATTTCAGTTCTGGATATAGTAAGAGTTGGGCACAAATCCTGATAGCACAAGTCATATCATGACCCCTCCCTTTCTCATATTTATATCAAAGCCAAACCCAAAGGAGAGAACTGCTTTTCAATACTCCTCTCAACATCTTCACTGCTTCTTCCTAACTGGATTTGTCCATTCACCTGTCTTTGTGCAACAGTTACAATGCCAGCATTTTTTCCAAATCACAAAATTAAATAATCCCCATATGGATTATTGAAAATCACCCAAAAGCACAAATAGAATTAGTAAGGAGGACTTTTGGCCATGGATTTATTTCGTAGTTTTAACAACTGTACCCAGTAGCTAATTTATACTTTCTGGGAATTAAGTACTTTTCCAAGAGCCTCTGCAATGAAATCAAGGAAAGAAATAAGATCAACTCACTGGAGTTTGAATTAGCTTCTTGAAGTCTTCCATTTTGCTGTTGCTGCTGTTGAAAACTTTAACACGCAGCTCTTCCTTGATAATATCCAGGCTATTTTGAATGGTCTTGTTATCTTCAATGTTTTCAAAGAGTTTGAAGTAGAAGGAGACGATTTGGCTCTGAATTATTTTTATGTCACTCTCCTTGGGAAGAAAGAGCACAAAGAGAGGTTGATATGAATTTATCCATTGGAAAATAAGCAATAGGAAAATCAATCAAATGAAAATATTCAGCTTACCCCTTTCCAATTCGTCAAAATATCTAAGAAAAGATGTCCACCATTCCCTACATCTGAACTTGTTGCATTCTGGAAAAACAAGGGGAGGAAATCAGTTTACAATTACTTCATAAATTGCCCTAAAAGTACAAGTTGTGTCACACTTAGATGCTGACAATATTCAATGATTTTCTTTTCAATCCTCAGTTTATTTCTAGCAAGTATCCCCAAGAGCTGTTATGTTGGATATGGCCAAAGACTACCATGCTATTTTAACTTTCATATAATCCTTAAATTGCAACGTCACAAATGAACTCAACAGGCAGATGATACTTCAATTTTCTCAAATAACCATAGTGGGGGTTTTTAAGTGTTTTCAAGCCTAGTAAGAAAATCAGCAACCCACTATAAAATACTGCCCCCCTATGGTACAGATCTTTATAACATCTACTTGTGTCCTATCGGATGTTAAGTCAACTTTAAAAGATAGTTCGAGGTGTGAGAGAGAGATTTGATATGATGTTGTGAGAATAGCATCGCTTGTGAAAGCTTAAACATAACAGCTATAATTATAATAGATAATTTTGGACAAATAAAATATTTAAGATGCAAAAACTATCTTAAGTAACCATAAATATAATTTTAAAAGAAAATCACATAACAAAACAAAAATATTTAAATACAAGTGAAATTATAACTTCTAGAGAATCTCAACAAGGGACTGAGTTTAAGGGTAATTCATAGATGGGCTAGTAGATTTTTTAAAATCACTTTTTGGAGAAAAACACCTATAAGTGATTTTTTAAAGCCAAAGCTTTAAGAACCTCACCTTCTTTAATTGATTAATTATTTCAGATTATCATTTTAATGCTAATCTTGACACTTTACTATCACCATCATGGTAGTCTGAGAAATCATAAATTAATAGCCAGTCTTTTTTCAGTATGTTATTTGCTACTTAACATCACAATTATATAAATTCTTAACACAAAATTATCAACATCAACCTGTTTTATATCCATATTATAGCCATCTTTTTAAAGATTCATGAATGCCCTCTTAACTTCTATAACATATTTGAGTAGAGGGTTAAAGCAAAACCCAGATCATTGAATTAAAACTCATCCAGTCAACAGTCAAAATAACACCAAGTCTTTTCAAGATGACTGTGGACTAGAGATGACAGCCTATCATAGATACATTCCAAGTCAATGTTCAGTCATTTCAACCACAAACAAGTATTATTAAAAGGTCATACTTACAAAATATCTCTTTAGTTTTTGTGTTTCGTTAAAAATCGTGGACTGGCTGTAGCAGCTAGAAAAACCCAAGATCACGCAAAGCTGTAAAGCTAAGATATAACTTGTATATTTCATTGTTTTGGAGAGAGTTGGGCCGAAGTCGTTGAAATCAGTAGTTCCGGAATTGAGTTGATCGGGTCGAAAGGACTCAGCTGATCTTTCTCTTCTAATAGCCAATCTGTAGACGTTAAGAAGAATGTACTGCATCTCCTTTTGCTGCTGGTATTTATACCTAACTGGAGTCTCATCAGGATTACGTATTTTCACAAGTTTTTTTAAGTGAGATGGTGACAGATAGACAGAGATGCTAGTTAGTTTGTATTAATAACTATGGTTTTGTGGCATTTGGTATTGTACTTAGAGTTTCCTTTCAACTCCTTGGGTCTTTTGATGATGAGACAGACCCATTATGCCCACTGTGCCATTCTTGTGGAATTCTCTGAAAGCACTTTTACTTCACACCATTCAGGGATTGGAAATTTTTTTTGCACTCCTTTTGCCCTTGTAAAATGTTGGCTCCAATGTGTTGACAGAGCACATTGATAATTTGTTTGTGGTTGGGAGCAAGTGAAAAGGAAATTCTAGGGGCTCTCAAACCTTTACAAAGGGGGTGCTTTTTACATTTTTTCTTGCAAATAGCCAGAAAGCAAGGAAAGAATGTGGTTAAAAGACCAATGTGTTGAGGAAATCCTTCATCAGAATTAGTACAATTTTAAATTGCTCTGGACCAACACTGCCCAATAAAAATTTCATGTAAGCTAAATAGATATACTTAATTTTTTTAGTAGTCCCATTAATAAAGGTAAAAAGAAACAGGCAAAAATAATTTTTTTAAATATATTGTATTTAAACCAATATATTCAAAATATTTCTATATATAGATCAATATATAACATTATTAAAATATTTTAAATTCTGTTTGTCATACTAAATCCTAGAAATCTGGTACACATTATATACCTACAGAAAATCTCAATTTAGACTAGTCAGATTTCAAATGCTCAAGTCAATGTGGCTAGAGGCTACTGTGTTGAACAATATAGCTCTGGATGATCAATCGTTCCAAATAATCATTAACAATGGAGAATTTTTTTTACTTTTATATTTCTTTTCCTTCCAAATGCAAAAAGTAGGATTCTTTCTCCTCCTTTAGTAATTTATTTATGAAGTAAAACACGTGGGGATATCACAGAAGGCCTGCCACTCTTTGGTTCCAGCCCATCTTGCATTTCAACCTGCACTGTATGCACTAAAATATCATGTTTGTGGGTGCAGACTTGAATCCTGATTCCACTATTATCTAACTATGTGATTTTGAGCATCTATGACTCTCAAATAAGCCTAATATTAGTATCTCCTTCTAGGCCTCAGTTGAAAATTAAATCACACGATACATATAAAGTGCTAAGAATTTTGCTTGGCCTGTAGTAAGCACTCAGTAAAAGTTATCTATTATTATTTGGGCATGGTGAATGACTAGACATTCCCTAAACATGCGCTGAACTTTTGCTCATACTATTCCCTTGGCCTTGAGCTCTCATGCTCTTCATCTGTGCCCCTGAGGGTGGTATCCATTCATTCACTCCCAGACTAAAAAGCACTATTTCCATGAGTTCTCACCAAATTATCCTTTTTAAAATTAAGCACACCAGCCTAGCACTTGGTTCATATTCTCCTTAGAATCCCAATCCCTCAATTTCGTATAAGAGTTAGTTATTCATGTATTGTCTCCTTTGTTAAATTAAATTCCTTAAAATCAAAAGTTGTTTCATTGCTTCTACAACATTGTTTTCTTTCTTCTCCTTTTAAAAAAAAAAGTTGAAAGTATTACATATGTTCCCCTTTTTCCCCTATTGACCCCTTCTAGCCCACCTCCACCATCCCCGTCCCCGGCCTTCATCACTCTATTGTCTGTGTCCATGGGTTATGCATATAGGTATACAAGTTCTTTGTTTGACCTCTTCCCACCCACCCACCCTCCCCTGCCTTCCCTCTGAGATTCCACGGTCTGTTCCATGTTTCTATGTCTCTGGATCTATTTTGTTCATCAATTTATTTTGTTCATTAGATTACAACACTGTTTCCTTCCTTAAAAACCTTTTAGCCTGAAGATTTGGCCACAGACACCACTGAATACACATGAATTTGAATACTTAATTTAGGATCTACTTTGAGTTATTTCCCCTCACATTCTAATCCCAATGTTATCAGACCTAACCTGTATAAAACTAGTTTTTAATTAAATAGAATATATGATTATTTTGGAAACATGGTGCTATGTCTTTAGCCAAATCCTGCTTCTTAGGACAGTTCCCTGTATATTTTATGTGAAAAAGGCCTGAAAACTCTTTGAGGAGCTATCTGCCCAAAGAATAAAGAAGATCAAAACATAGCCTCAATCAAAGCCTCATGTTATGCCAGTGGAAAGTCTGCTGCTGCCCACAAAGCTCTAGTGTAGTGGTCTCCAAGGAAAAACATGGCCCAAGTAGGGTGCTTACAGGTAACACAGTGATAAGAAAACCTTATCAAAGCCTTGAGATGCACTGCAAGCATTCAATACCTTCTAGGAAACCATTGGCCAAACTCCATGTTCCTGGAAGAAATATTTCCAAATTTGAAGAAATATTCCCAACTTTATGGAAAGGAGTTACAATTATTCTCTTGATTCATTCACTGGAATATAGCACTGGGGGTGAGAGTTCAGAATAGTGAGATACGTAAGTGGGAATTACATATTGTCTGGGCCTTTGTAAGTTGAAAGCGCCTATTTAAAGTTACAGATATATATTAGAAATATGTTTAGAATATGGCCTGATATCTAGGATTAGTAACTTCATGGCTAACATTCAAGCTCTACTAACACCGATGGCATGACACAGAATTATGTTAAGCATAACACAGAATCATTAAATTATAGAGATGATCTATGGCCTATTCCCTCACTTTTTAGATTTGTAAATCAAGACCCAAAAAAACAAAGTGCTATGTTAAAATTCATTCAACTGGAAAATGCAGAGCTGAGTGTAGAACCAAGACCTTTTCCCTAATCCAACTGTCCCCCAATCAATCAATATCCATTAAGGTGATTGTATGTGTCTAAAACTGTATTAAATATGTAAATTCAAATCATTATATCCTACCAGACTTTGATTTCTGGATTTTTTTTCTGTAGAATTTGTGAGATAAAAGTTATTCTTTAATTCCTTAAAAAATAGTAAGACTGCAAATAAAAAGTTTAAAATTAGAAATCCCAGCAGGCCCAAATTCATGGACATAAAATCTGCACCATCTATCAGGACCCCCACTTATTTAGAAGAACCCACATTTGGTTTAATGCACTGTTGTTACCTTCTTAAAATCCCTAATAGGTTTTAACAAGGGGACCCCATTTTCATTTTGCACTGGTTCCTGCAAACTATATAACTGGTCTTGCATCCTAGGCTAGAGGTGAATCTTAAGGTATTAGATTTTCATCTTTTAACACATAATTCTTTGGTTCAGCATATTGTTACTATAGTAGTATATACTTTTATGATCTTTTCCTGTCTTATAAACTTTACCAAAGACATTCTCTCTCTTTTCTGACTGTAAAACACCTTAGGTTGCAGATGCAAACTAGAGGTTTCACACTTTGTTGGTTCAGTCAACACTGAGGCTGCAGAAAAATTCACCACCAAGGTATTCTTTCAAAGTTTTGCAAACCCACCAGGAGCCCAAGTGTGACCATATCTGTAAAACAAAGGGGCTGAAAACTTTCTTTTTTCTTTTCAGCTAGACATTCTTTCTGAAAACTGGCTATGGTTATACATGAAGCGTCAGCAAGATTTTTAGTCATAGCTCATGCTATCCTTACGTTTGAGTAGGTAGTTGTAAGACAAAACTTACACCTTGGTTGCCCTTTTTCCTGTGTGATCAGCAGTCATATCTCTAGCACTCACAACCAAATTATCTCATCCAGACTTTGGTGTCGATTTCTTCCACAGAGTGTATGAGTCAATGTTGGATCCATGCCCCCACGCTATTTTGACTCCCGCAACTCCTGACATCATTGAAGCTGAGCCTACGGAAGAAGAATGACATACAAAATGGAAGTCCACGGGGAGTCGGATTTTCCCCGCAATTTGACTCATAAAATCCCATATGTTAAAGGATGATTTTCTGAATCCCCCTTTTTCTTTCGTGCCACCTGGGCAACTCTGAGAGGTGATACAAAGAAAATAGAGGACATTATACTTGTGTATTACAGTCATCAGATTACAATATTTTCTATTTTATGTCAGATGGGATTGTGTATTGATAATCTAGAGATTCATGATCATCCTCTGAAGGTGATATTTTTATTCCACTGGGAATTTTAAAGCACCTGACAAGTGCCAACTACTGGAATTAACCTGGGGTTACCAAAGATGGATGGGACAGTTCTGTTGTGAAAGAATTTATATTCAAATGTCAATCAATCAGTAAGTCCTTATTGAGCACTTATTACATGTCTATAGATTTAGGGGTTACAAAGAAGTTAATGAGACAACTGGCAGGAGCATATGTCATCACGTTAGTAGCTAGGGTTGATTCTTCTGTCCTGGTTACTGGGTAGGTATCCATATTACACATATTCTCCTTATCTTCTCCATGTACACCCTTCCCAGGGGATTCATATAGTTGAAAAGGACTGCTTATTGGACGGAGGAAAACACACATAGCTGACATATGTATCACATTTTCTCCTGAACCCATGGCATATGTCACTAGTCAGCCATGATATTCTTTCCTACTCAGTTTAGATGTAGCCTCTGAATCTTTTTCAACACTGAAATCTAGACAGATATTACCAAGTTATTAATGTTTCATTATGTATTTTTCCTTTTAGAGCTAAAGTTTTCTTGTGGCTATGCCTCTTACTTAGATCTGCTAAATGTATTTTTTCAAATTACAAAGAAGTAAAAGACATGCTGTTTTCCTCCAAAAACATCAGAACTAAAGAAAAAAAACATTACAATTCAATAAAATAATATAAGGTAAGACCTTTGGCCTAAGACAGTGGTCGGCAAACTGCAGCTCGCGAGCCACATGCGGCT